TTTCTTTAAAAAATGAAACGACTACCTCTTTTGTGCTTAGCACAAAAATTGTTTTACATAATACATACACAAAAAAAGCTACTAAAATTTTTAAAAACCACTAAATAAAGATTTTTTTTATAAATTGTACTATGTCCCATTAAAAAGTTTTAAAAATGGGATACTAGTTTCCAACTGAACTTAAAAATACATTCTACTATTTAACTGCACAAGTAAATAAAAAATATAAGTTGAAAAAGGAGCGATAGTTATATGCATTTATGAGCATAAAGGTGAAAGAAAACAATTTATGAACTCAAGACATCCTAATGTTTGTTTAAATCCTCGAAGAAAAAAAACAATATATTAAACAAACATTTTACCGAATCCCTGTATTCAACATTTATCCCTTAATTTACTCTTAAATATACTCCTCACATTTCACAAAAACATCTAGCAGAGAGGAAATTCGGGATAGAAAAAAGGAAAGGGAAAAAAGTGCAACGTTGCTTATCCGAAATTGACTTTACTCATCTCCACACTTCTTCGTCATTGATTCTATAAACATGTTTTCTTCTTCTTTTTCTTTTTTTTTTGTTTCTTTTTTCCAACAAGAAGCGATATTCTCACTGCTGTTGATTCTTTTCATATTTCTCTCTCTCGCAATTTTAAACTTTCTTTCTGCTCATATTGGTGTTTCTGCTATCATGTTTCCGTTTTAGGGACGGATAATAAAAAAAGAAGGAAAAAAAAAACTATTAATCTTCACGTTTTCTGTTTTCTCCTCCACCTCCCCCACGGCAAAGTACTTTTTCATCACTTTTCATATTTGTTGCATCGTCTGGATATTCTATTTTTAGCACTTCCTAGAATCTTTCAATCCACGAAAGAATGTACTAAACACCTCGATTTCTCCCCTGTTTTCTGTTCTTGGTTTTGCTTCTTTTTTTCCGGAAAAAAAGTATTCCTTACACTCGCACAAAAAGTGTTCATATAATTTTTTCTTTTTTTTTGTATTTTTATCAGCAAAGGAAAGAGGAAAAAGTTATATTTTGATTCGGCAACTTTTCTCGCCTTCCTCTTTATAATTTTACTTTCGGATTCTTATGTTTCAGAAACTTATCCACCTTCTATTTTTTTTTTTTTTTTTTTTTTTCATTTTCCATTCACTCTGTTTTTTGATGTTGCATCATTTATTTTTCAAATTTTTTATTCAGAAAAATTCTTGTCCGAAAATCATATCTGATATCATGTTTTTAAAGAAGATTACAACTTAAATTTAGAGTCAGAACACGGTATTAAATTTGATTTTTAATCCAAACTTAAATTCCATAAGGAGTGTTGTTTTACATTCATAATAAAAAAATTCTGATATATTAACATATATTTTTCTTTTGCTGTCAATTCTATGTTGAATTATAAATTTGGAAAATTTAAGGTTTACATTCTATGGAAGCGTGTAGTAAGCATTGATTGCATATAAAATATTTTTCTTTAGTTTCTTTCTTTTTTACATTTTTGCTAACCCGTTACTTAACGTGCGAAAAAAATGACCTTAAATTCACGCGCAGAGTATCTCATACCCGAGGGTGTTTACAGTCTGTTTTTACCGGAGAACTTACAAAGGTGAAAAAGGAAGAAAAGACGGAAATAATATGTTAATTACACTTTCCCCACGTAAATTTAGATTTATTATTATTATTTTATTTTTATTATTTTATTTAGATTAGAAAAAATTTATACACTCGTTTAATCTTTATCGCGAGTGAGTGCAATGTTTTCACTAGATCTTAATTTCCATACAAATTGAGAAGAAGTATTGCATGCTAGTTTTCTACACTCTTTTACATTTCTTCTGTAAATCTAAATCCAAAATACTCAGAAATCAGCTTCTGGTTCAATGTTTAGTGGTAGTTTCTGACTACTAGCAAATAATTTGCTCATTTATTGTCTCAACGTTCAACAACAGAAGAAATATAAGATTTTAAAGCCTTCTCATGCATTTAGATCTGTAAGAGCGATTCACTCGCAGGGTATGACATACCCGAAGAGGCTGTATCCAAAAATATACCTTTAGAATTTGGCTATAAGCAAGGCCCCTCAAAGGATTTATCCTTAAAGTCACTACACGAGAAACTATTTATTTTCCAAAGAAAAAAAGTTTAGATGGAGTCTTGAAAAAGTTAGGCGCTGGGAATGGCATCCCCTGCGCGTGAAGTGCCTTTCTTAATCAGAACTTTAAACTAAATACGATCGATAGTAACAGTTATTATGAAATGTTTTTTTTACCCTAATGTTTTTGCTTTTTGAAAATTATTCTTTCTGAAATTAAGGGAGATAAAATTCAAACATAACAATTTGGTTGTGGAGACCGCCGCTAGATTGAGCCACCAATGAAATAGTTTCCACTTAGAAGAAATTGTCAACAAATTGCCTACAAATGTCTTAGCTGCCGAGATGCAGCACATTCGAAACAAAAACAAATATTAACTGGGTTCACATTAGCTGAATGTTCATTTTAAAGAATTTCTAACAGGTTTGAAGTGGAAAGCATGAGTTTGCTTGGGAATACAGAAAAGACTACGTTTTCTGCTCTTAATAAAAATATATTTTAACGATTATTTATTTAAAAAATATAAATTACGTCTTACTTTACTTGAAATATGCTTTACTTATACTTTTTTTTAAGGGGATAATTTCACCTTTTCAATAAAACAGTGTAAACAATACATTTAACACCTTTTTCCCCCTCTTTCTAATTTCGCTTTCTTTGCAAACACATGCTGCATAAAGCGTCAAATTTCCCTCAGTGTACAGGAGTGTATATTAGTTTAAAGGACTTAACGCAGTGTTTCTCAAACAGTGGGGCACCCCCCCCCAGGGTGGCGTGATAACCATACAAGGGGGCGAGTATATCGAAAAATCAAAAAATAAACATAATTTAAAAAAAAATATTAAACTAATGAAAGTAAACAAAACAAAATGCATTCTGACATAATAAATAAGAAAATGCATTTTATACTAATATACTTATAAATTTATCAGCACTGCACAATGTATTTTTGATAATAAATTTATCAATAGTGAACGAAGAGCAAGTTTAATAATTAACTTTAACTCCCATGGGATTGTCATATACAAAAATTATATCCAAAATAAAATTTATCTTGATAATTTGTGCGTTTGTGGTGTTAATTATTACAGCATGATTAATATTTATGAAGGAGATTACATCATTTCAAAAGGTGAAAATATTAAACATTTTTATTCCGTTCAATCCGTTACTATATTATTAATTCCCTAGCTGCTTTTACAGTTTTAAGGCAACTCATTAAATCTCATCATCTGATTCTTTCATTGTCAGATACAGAAAAATTAAAGACTACTAATCTGAACTTAAAAATATAGAATAAATTATTTCTCTGACAAATAGAACAAAATACACTACTCCAACGAAGTTCCCGTTGAAAGAGGAATAACATACGAAACTCTCATCTGCCTTCTTTCATCCATCAGCACCTGTTATCACGGTTTGTAATTAAAGTCGTATTGTAGCTTTAGTATCAAATTACATTATTATTGGCATTCGATACAATGTTATTGTATGGGAAGGGGGCTGCGATGGAAATTATAATAGAAAATTGGGTCGCCAATACTGAAAGTTTGAGGATCAATGACTTAACGATGATATCATAAGTAAAAACTAATGTTAGAGTGAAGATTCCTATTTAAAAAATATCAACATTCAACATATTCACAAGATACCGACTTTGGAAACAGTCAAGTCGTGAAATATGCACACGTGTGTTTGTGTGTGTGAAACGATGCGAAAGAAGCACAAAATCAAAACCTTTACTGCAAGGTTTTACTTTGATTTTTAATTTTATTGTATATTTATCTCAATAACTACCATAATGTCGTTTTTCGTTCAGGTTTACTGTGGAGAATAAAACATGGAGAAGTACGGCATATATCCATAAAAGAATATTAGATGTAATTGGAATGTGAAGGTTATATAATCTTTTTTTCTGAGAATGTATTATCTATTTTATTTTATACGCGGAAATGTACGGAGGGAAAACAAATGTTAGAAAGAAAAATAATTTTGTTTAGTCTATAAATTATTTTTATACATAAATTCTTAATCGTTCGTATATACGTATTCGTATAATAATAGTAATAAGTAAAGTTCCAAAAGCTTAATGCAAATTTTGTTGATGTGTTATATTGAGCTAGATAATTTTACTTAATATAAATTGATTTATTCAATTTTAATTAATTTACCTTAATTTTTTGATAATATATTTACTTACATGAGCTTGTGCTTTCTTTATTAAATAAAAACTTATAATGAGTATATTTTTATTATAAGTTTATATATTTTATATCTTGATATATTTGTTTCATATTTCTTATACCTGTTTCAGAGTCATTTGGCTGAATTTGTATATATATACAACTAGTTTTACATAGTTTTATAAAAAATACTTTTATGTAAATAAGACATACCTAACGTTTTGATAATTTTTTTTCATCAGACTATTACTTTTTTCATTCCATACTGTTTGTTTAAATTATATGTTACCATGCTATTTATTGTTTGGGATTAAAAACGCAAAAAATGTTAAATATGTGGATATTTACATGACCTCTTTGTATGTTCGATACGCTTCTGCACTTCTCAATTAGTACTTCACACTCTCAATTAGTTTACACTCTTGCTATATATATATATATATATATATATAGATAGATAGATAGATAGATATAGATATATCGATATATAGATAGTAGATAGATAGATAAAGATATATATCTTGTTCAAATTTTCAATCATTAATAAAATGATTTTTATTCATCCACTCAAGTTCAAATACATTTTTTAAAACGTTTAGTGTATGGCAATTAATTTTAATACACTTTATTTTAAGTATTAATTCATTAATTATATTCAATTATTAATAGTAACAAACAAAAACAATAGTTCAATATCGTATATGAAAAGGAAATCCACTCGCTGTGTCGCTGTAGAGCAATGAATAGCTCGTTGGAATTCTAATACAAAGTTCGTGGGTTCGAATCATACCTGGGATGGCTTAATATCTGAGAATGTGATTTAGGAGAATGGATAATTAATAACAAATAAAAATAGTAGTAAAACACCACATATAGAAAGGAAAATTGCAAGGGAAATCGATTTCAATTTTGACAATTAATATTGAGATTCTTCTATATGCATATACATATTTCTATTAATTGTATTTATTTGATATAAAATGACTAAAATAAATATTTTCTTTGTTAGCGTAAGTAGGAATTGGCTTTTTAAAAAAGAATTCTATTCTTATAATAAAAAGAAATTGAATTTGTCAAGAAAAATTATTATGAATGTGGTTTTTTCACGCATTGTAATATCTAACGAAAAATATTGCCAAATGGTCTGAAAATGAAGAATCACATAACTATTCAAGTTTGAGAGATTGAAGTCATGTTTAAGAAATGCAATCTTCGGTTTCGACTGATGTGTCAGACATCAGTCGCAACCGAAGATTGCATTTCTTACAATTCTTGAAGATTCAAGACGTTCATCGTCTTCTACGTTGACCGAAAACGGTGGCTACCAGAAAAAAAGAAGGGAGACCAAATAACAAATGTTTCCAGAAAGAAATATGTTCTGGTCCTAACTCACAGACAATTTCATTCTAAGAAAGCGAAACATATTTCGAAGATTCAGGACTCAAGGCGCCTTTCATCACTTCTAAAAAAAAGAAGAGGATGAACACAACATCTCAAAATTTATTTATGGAACACTCTGGTAATAAATGACGTATTTTTATTTATTTATTTTTAGTTATCGGTTCCTTCTTAACAGATGGGGCTTTTGGGTGGACATTGAAAAATGACCTTAGTCATTGTTCGGGAATTTTCCTTGCATGCATCAATTTGTTTCTAGGCTACATATTATTAAATGATATGTGTATGATTGCCTGTCTTTTGTTGAGACCAGGGTTTTTGCCACATAAATTACTATTTTCTTTTCGATACATGCTAGGGTGACTTAATGTTTACTTATTTTATGCATGTGTTTTAATAATACATGTTTGTTTCCTTCTTTTTTAAAGGAATGTTGTTTTAAAGGAGAATATTTATTTGTGCCTCCTTTATTATTCTTGTCGTAACAAAAACAAGAAAACAAGCGATTCACTATTTACGCCATAACCATGCTAGAATTTTACATTAACTACTATTGTCCACGAACTAGGTAGATTTCTAAATTTTATAGCCAGATTATTAAATGGTACGTATAAGATTGCGTGTCTTTTGTAGGGACCAGAATTTTGGCCACATAAATTACTATTTTCTTTTCGATACATGCTAGGGTGACTTAATGTTTACTTATTTCATGCATATGTTTTAATAATACTTGTTTTTTTGTTTTCTTCCTTTTTTAAAGGAATGCTCTTTTAAAGGAGAATATTTATTTGTGCAGTCGTTATGATTCCTGTCATAACAAAAACAAGCGATTCACTATTTACACCACAAACGCTGCTAGAATTTTACCATAACTATACTATTGTCCACGAACTAATTAGATTTCTAAATTTTATAGCCATATTATTAAATGGTACGTACAAGATTGCCTGTTTTTTGTTGGGACCAGAATTTTGGCCATATAAATTACTATTCTCTTTTCGATACATGCTAGGGTGACTTAATGTTTTTTTTATTATTTCATGCATATTTTTTAATAATACTCGCTTGCTTTCTTCTTTTTTTAAAGGAATGCTGTTTTAAAGGAGAATATTTATTTGTGCAGTCGTTATGATTCCTGTCATAACAAAAACAAGCGATTCACTATTTACACCACAACGCTGCTAGAATTTTACCATAACTATACTATTGTCCACGAACTAATTAGATTTCTAAATTTTATAGCCATATTATTAAATGGTACGTACAAGATTGCCTGTTTTTTTGTTGGGACCAGAATTTTGGCCATATAAATTACTATTCTCTTTTCGATACATGCTAGGGTGACTTAATGTTTTTTTATTATTTCATGCATATTTTTTAATAATACTCGCTTGCTTTCTTCTTTTTTTAAAGGAATGCTGTTTTAAAGGAGAATATTTATTTGTGCAGTCGTTATGATTCCTGTCATAACAAAAACAAGCGATTTCACTATTTACACCACAACGCTGCTAGAATTTTACCATAACTATACTATTGTCCACGAACTAATTAGATTTCTAAATTTTATAGCCATATTATTAAATGGTACGTACAAGATTGCCTGTTTTTTGTTGGGACCAGAATTTTGGCCATATAAATTACTATTCTCTTTTCGATACATGCTAGGGTGACTTAATGTTTTTTTATTATTTCATGCATATTTTTTAATAATACTCGCTTGCTTTCTTCTTTTTTTAAAGGAATGCTGTTTTAAAGGAGAATATTTATTTGTGCAGTCGTTATGATTCCTGTCATAACAAAAACAAGCGATTCACTATTTACACCACAACGCTACTAGAATTTTACCTTAACTACTATTGTCCACGAACTAATTAGATTTCTAAATTTTATAGCCATATTTTTAAATGGTACGTATAAGATTGTCTGTCTTTTGTTGGGATCAGAATTTTTGCCACATAAATTACTATTTTCTTTTTGATATAAGCTAGGGAGACTTAATGTTTACTTATTTCAGGCATATGTTTTAATAATACTCGTTTGTTTTCTTCTTTTTTTAAAGGTATTCTGTTTTAAAGGAGAATATTTATTTGTGCATCCGTTATGATAACAAAAAAAAACAAGAAAACAAGCGATTCACTAGTTACGCCATAACACGCTACAGGAACTAATTAGATTTCTAAATTTTATAGCCATATTATTAAATGGTACGTATAAGATTGTCTGTCTTTTGTTGGGATCAGAATTTTTGCCACATAAATTACTATTTTCTTTTTGATATAAGCTTAAGCTAGGGTGACTTAATGTTTACTTAAGTAAACATATTTTTTAAGGCATATTTTTAAAAAATACTCGTTTGTTTTCTTCTTTTTTTAAAGGTATTCTGTTTTAAAGGAGAATATTTATTTGTGCATCCGTTATGATAACAAAAAAAAACAAGAAAACAAGCGATTCACTAGTTACGCCATAACACGCTACAGGAACTAATTAGATTTCTAAAATTTATGGCCAGAAGAAAAATAAACGATCAATATAATACAATAACAGTAACAGGATTCACTCTTAGCATGGTATATAAGAAAGTAAACCTAGATTTAGCAGGATTTTTTTCATTAAGTTAGAAAAACATAATTGTGTGCAAAATAAATATTAGAAGTTACAGTACAATATATAGAGCTACCAATTTATGGGATACATTTATGTATTAACAAAAGATGTATCCACGCAAATTATGACTCTTAACTGTATTTTGTGTCCTTTTCGTCTCATTTCGAAATTATCGTTGATCTTTCCCTTGCAATAAGTTAATTTCTAATTGTTTTGGGTTTTTTTCTTCGATATAATTATAATTTCTTTTTTAGTATTTAATCAATTTTTTCCTTTTCTTTGTTACTCTGCTTCATTTTGGCCATGGTAACTAAGTTATAACATTTTTTAGTTATTCTTCATGCATTAAAAATTTATAGTCTTTAGTACTTATGGAATTTATTACTACACTATTTTTCTTCCTTGTGGTACATACAAATATAGAAAGAGTTGGTGACTTTTAAAATATGTTTAACCCTAAAATCTTCTTTAATGAGGTAAACGTTTGCTGGTATGCTAATAAGAATATTCTATTTTTTAAATATATTTAGTCTCGTAATTATTTTTACTGATTTTCTGACTAGCCTTATGCCCCTTTCGTACTTGTTTATATATATATATATATATATATATATATATCGATTAATGCATACAAATTTACTGATGAAACATAAAATTACATAAACAATAATCTTCCTATTAAAATTCATAAAACAGTTGTTATAAATCACAAAAGGCTTTATTAACGATGATATTAAAACTCAAAAATAGAAGAAAAATAAATAACATGGGATTGTGTGTGTGGTCGCACTAGGTACAGAGTTACCTCAGGCTAACGAAATGTTTAATTATCGGAAAACTGTTTATTTGTTACCAATGACCTCTTGTCAGTATCCTCCAGTATGACAGCCTTCACGGAAACTAAAATGTATTTGTCACATTTCTCTCTCTTTTGGGTAATGATAAAAGTGTTTTTTTGCAATCTGATGAATACATGGTACCCAAAAAACCATCAAACTGTCGATATTTTTTACTGGCGTAGAAAACACATGGACTCATTACATACAGGCCTGTAAAATTTCGAAGTTTTCTCCTCATATTTTATTAAGTTATAGAACAATTTTTGATGCTGGACAGCAGACTAAGCAAATCTGTCACGCCCACTATTCAGATTAACTGCTAGAAAAGTGCCTAGTAAAAATGGATTAATTATTTTTCTACAGCACGCAAATGAGACTAACATATGTTGAATTACATATGCAGTAACGAATCTTTTCAAGAAATTGCGCAATTTATGCAAAAATTCTAGCTTATGTATTGTTTATTCAAGAGATAAAAAATTTGTTCAAGATTTAAAAGTTGTGCGGTTTTTTTGTATATTATTATGAAGGAAGTTATAACTTTTCTAAACAGAGTCTCCCAAAGCACAAATATTAAATCTCATTGTGTTAACTCTTATAACTAAATCTAATTCGCACAAAAATAGCAAAATTGTCTCTTTTCCCCATTTTTATACTGGATGGACAAAAATTTCGTAAAATTATTAAAATTTATAAAACGCGGAGAAATAAACCAAGTAAAAACTATTTGCAGGTTTAGCTACGATAAGTCACTGATTTTTTCTTAAAATAAGAAGAAAAAAAAAATCGTTCAAAAACAGCCAATAGATGGAATTTCGTACCTAAGTGAAAGAAAAGACATTCAAATCACAAAAATAATTTGACCAAACCATTTATTGTAACTGTATATGTTTCACATGTCCACCACCACAGAGGATAACACATCGAGGGCGTGTCACAAATCCAGCATTGGCAGAG